CAGTCTACAACATGGCTCAGACTTCATAGACTGGTGCTACGACTAAAACTGAGCACTATTTTTCTCCTTACAATCCAATCCTACTTCAGTTGACAACACATGTCGAGGTAGGTGGTGATTCAGCATGCACAACATATGTCGAAGCCATCTCATTCACAACTTCATTGACCGACTTACTTAGCAACTTTGCCTAACCATGCTGTTGCTCACATAGTGATTCTAACACACATGACCAATGCTTACGAAGACAGGTGGTTTGGAACCCTATAATTCCTTATTTCATACTTTCAAGAGCCACCCGTCACAGCCGTATAAGAGAGAGGACTACAGTGCAGTATATTCTTGCTTTGATACACGGTTGATATCTCACCAACGTCAGAGATCAGGCAAGTTTACAAATACCAAATAGCCCTTTTATTTCTAAGCCAAGGTATATTCAGTCACCAGCCTATTTGGGCCGATGCAACTGTGCACGTAATTGAATTGCCCCACCCGTTGTACCAGTCTACTCCATATTTTAAGTTAGGAGTCGGTGCTGACCAATCCTGAAGAATTATTTTACACCTGACACGTACAAAATGCTTGTCACACACTCAGATTTCTTCTTTAAGCTTTCATAAAACTGCATGCTGTCGGTGTTTTCACTTAAAAGAACTAAGGAGTTCGCATGCATCAATCCAATAAAGTGCTGTCCTAGTGTCACCCTACTGATAGTCTAGAACAGAATCAGCGGTTGAATGTTGAAATGTTCCTAAACTTATCAGGAATGCTGTTTCCAATCAGGTCACTTGATGTCCAGGTACATCCTTCTTTTATGTATGCATGAGGTTTGAACGAAGTAGTCAGTTGTTGGCATGGGAAGGTTACTAGAAGACTTTCAGCGAAGAACCCTTTACTGTGACTTCGATAAGAGTTTAAGCAAAATATAAATGGCCATTTAAATTTTGAACTCGAGGTTCGTTAGAAAGATTTTTTCAAAGTTAGTTGAGGTCGCTTAGTAAAGCTTTCTTCCACACTTTGGTCTGTGGTTATGAGTAGGTAACTATTCTGTAACAGCATTTCACGAAGTTTTCAATGCATGCTCGCCAGTACCACCAATATATATCGTTCTAATCCTTGAAGATAGGGAGTGCATACCTTATTTCTGGTTTAAAGATGCCCGAATAAGGAAGTTGGTTACATGTTTGTGCATGGATCTTCGAAAAGAACTGTCAGGTCTTTTTTGAAGTTTACTGTCAAAGAAATGGAACACTGACTTCAATTCAGTGTGAAACTGCAGAATATCTGTCATTGAGGATGATCTTCATATCCGATTTTCCGCCATAAAACTTAAAGGTTTCAAGTATATCCATGAAATCTTGTCCATTGTGCAATAGATTTATATTATAAATAAATTTATAATAACGAGTCTAAATGTTAGTGTGACCACAGGCAGTAATTTCGCTCAAAATATTAACAAAATAAAAAACTTATCATTGTGAACTTATCACTAGAAATTTTCTTCTAATCCATTGAAGGTTTCGTCAATATATACTTTGTATGCATTAAGTTGGTTGATTCTTGGGACCTAAACGCGGTCTTCTAAGCCAGCCATAAAGTAGTTGGCCATGACAGTTACAAGAGGTTGTGGTATAGCTACACCATCGATCAGTCGATAAATTTCTTTACTAAACCTGGACGTTAAGAGTATATCTGAGTTCTTTTCAGATAGTAGATAGGTAAACTAGTTTCTACATTTTAAAGTTGAATGAATTCGCAAAAGACAGAAACGTTCCCTGGTAACAGAACATTTCTGAAGAGTGGAACATTACCTGCTGAAATCATTCTTCTTCTGGACAGATTAATATCCATTTCTGACTCAAAAGCGTCACAAAGACAGGGTTAAGGATTTCCAAAAGCCCTTTCTCTACCGTATGTTATAGGGAGTTAGTCAATTCTAATATTGCATGAAGAAGGAAATCACCGTCTGAAAAACTGTTTTAACGAGGCTGAGTACGCTGGAATGGCCAAGTTGTTCGTACTGATAACCAATTCCTCTTTCATTTTCTTCCTTAACTGAGAGTTGCACTTCTGCTACTTCAGCAGCCCTTCCTAAGCGGATCGTGACGGAATCTCCATTCCTCTTCAGTTGATTCTGATTTATTCCAGATTTACGTAAGACAGCAATTGAAGTTCTCAAAGCCATCACTACATGCAAGAGGAAGGTCTCTTGCTTCATCTATCTGCAATAAGCTAAGCATCCTAACCTCTTATCCCTTTCTTTTACTTCACTTCACCGATAAACATTTATTTTCATAAGTTATTAGTTTTATCGCCTTGTTTACTCATACTAATTTTTATTTTCAACCTTTAAGCAACACCATATTATATTCACATGATTTTTCATTCTTCTTGAATATAACTCATCGATACATAATAGTTACTGAATCCTTAGTAGACAAACATACATTCACACCCAGGAAGAATGTATTGAAATGAATCATCACCTCTAGGTTTTGGCTACTTATATAGTGACTGTTTGGTTCAAATTGATTTAATTGTACAACTAATACTGGACTGGTTACTATTCCACTTGAGACAAAAAAATTATATCCGTCTACACATACTGTTTTCACATCAAAGTATTTTTAGTGTGCTTCACATCATCAAAGTACTTTTTAAAGATTGGGGAGAGCCTGTACACGCGCTCATTTTCGGTGGTAAGCTGTTGGCAGTATTCGTGAAGTTTATTTCCCTGGGTAGCTGCGTGATTGCTGAAGTTTCTAACCGTATACCGAAAGCCAGAGGGGTATACGCTTACTTTGGTATCTCTCTCTCGATTTGTGTACTTCTGTGAAGTGTGGCAACTTTAGCCGAAGCACTTGTGTGCGTGGTTCTACGTCTTGTCAGTCACTCTACGTGTGAAACCTGGCGTTTCAAGCCGAGGATGTGCCACGTCTCTGTTGGATTCTCGTTGTCTCCGTAGGATTGTTCACATGCGGTAGCAACACGATGTAAATAATTCTGAGGTACGATATCGTGTTTCGGCATGATGGAGATCGTCATCCAATAAGTGAAGTCATCTGGAGACACCGGCTTCGATACGTACTACACATATCATCTCAGTGGCTTCCCTAGGATTAGATGGAAGAAGCGAAGGTCAGTGTTTGACGCGGCGCCGTCGTACGGTGGACAGTTGTGTTGGGTTAGCATCTGTTGGTGTATCATGACTCTTAGGCTGGGGTTCAAGAGATCATGCAGCTCAGTGGGTTGTTATCGGATATGATTCAAAATCAAAACTAGTGGTGGTCACGCTGTAGCTTCTTCCTATCTTCTGCTGCCGAAAAGTAATGAATGCTTTGTTTTGATTGTATCTTACTGGACTGCCCTTCTAATTATTCTGTTCTTGTTTTCCTTTTTGTCCACTCCCTTCCCTTTGTCTTTTAAATAGTGTTCTATTATTTTGTTTGACCCATTTCTTGGTGCTGTTGCTGTGCCGCATTTGCCCTAAATTGGTTACTAGAGTTTACCTATTTTCACGGATTTATAACTGCAGAGCCTGAAGAGGAAGTTAGTGAAAACAATAGCTCACCCAAAACATTTTCGTTCTGACTAATCAAGTTCTCAAACTGGACTTTTGATTCGGGATAACAAAACTTAAGGTCGAGACACACCATATGCATATGTCGAGGATATAGTCACACTAGGATAGATGAATATATACTTTTCCCAGCAACATCTTTTCGGTGGTATTGTCGTGAGGTTTTTTATCAGATTAACATGAACACCTTTAGTGCGTTTCTTGGTGAACACTTAGGTAGTTTTCGGATTTTTTCGTCTAATAATTCAAATAAAGCTTAGGATTTCTGTGACATGCTACTTAAGAGCTCTGACAATTGAGACTGGAGGGCGTCGATGCGATTCAGACTATGTTGCTTCGAACTATACGAATTCGGAAATACATGGTTAGGCCGACAACTTAGGGACAATCACATTCTTCAAGACAGGAAATCTAGCGCTGACCTCCACAATTTAGATGGTATCACATAGGAATTTACTTAATTCATTGACGGTTGACAGATCGTTGATATTCTTCAAATGCATATTTATATATCACAATGGCCCGCATGATCCCAGCAGTATACAAAACCCACCGAACTGTAACCTACTGTCATTGTTTATCGCTTCCCTTGCCTTCACTACCTGCTCCTGTTAGTAACGACCACAACAGCAGTGTCTACTCTTCATTAAAATTCGGAAAGTCAATTACTGTTTACGGTAAGGCTGATAACTTTAAAAATCAACAAGTGCTTTTCTCCTAGAAAGAAGTGCCGAACTCTCATAAATGAATACTTTAGACACATTAAAAGACGCTCTTTCTGAAGACAGGATAAAAATGGTTCGTAAAATCTACTGCGGGAACTATCAGGTATCACTGCTCAGCTCAAGAAATCACGAAGCTTGACACGATAGATTAATGATAAGTCAACCTAAATGCTAATAGATAAAAACAAATTTCAGACAAGGTGGATATACGATGCATTTTTACAGACGTTAGTGAAATGTATTACCTACTGATGAACACAGATAAAGTATGTAAACTACTCTAACGGAAACCACCAACTAGTTAGTTGAAAATAAATTTGTCACAACGATAATTTTATCTAATACAATAAGCACGGATGATACATTCATTTTAAAAATCATTCATCCTACAATGGAAAGGTGTCCATTAACACACAAGACTATTCTAAACTCCGGTGAAAATTTCTACTGTCTCCTAATGAAGCCTTCTAAACTAGTCTACACTGATAGTGAATTATTCACAACCATAGTTATTTATAGTAAAACTGAGATATGGAACGCAACTCAAAGTGAACTGTAGGATATGATTAAACTTCGTGAGGATGGACCGACCATATCTTAAATTAACATAGGGTATAAAACTTACCGAATACAGGAGTGGTTCAGTTTATCTACTGCATAAACACTAATTTGAAAATGCATTCAAAAAGAAGTATGAAGACAAGAAACATTTAATGATCACAAATTTATGGCAAGAAGTAATTATTAATAACCGAAATGTACACGTCAATCAATATTATGACAAGAATACTGAACAGAGAAAGTCAAATACTCAATTGTTATACAATAACTATCAAAGCCACTGACGTTAAAAGTGTTTACTGAAACTTATCTCTTTGTTCTTTGTTATTAATTTCTTTATCTACATTGTGCGAAGTACAGATAAGCGTGAACTTATATTGCATTCAAGGTGTTTGCGAAATACCATCACAATCGGTTGTATATTTATGCTTCCAGTAAATATGTAGCCGATTTTGATGGTATTTCGCTAACACTTTGAATGCAATGTAAGTTCACGCTTATCTGTACTTTGCACAATATAGATGGAGAAATTAATAACAAAGGGCGAAGAGATAGGTTTCAATAAACTGAAAAAGTATGAGAATCCTTTATAACCATAGGGAACTCATTGAACCACCCATCTCACTCTGTTCACGAACAAACACTTCATAATATTGGTAGATTGTTGTGACAGCCATGAGGATACCTGTTCCACTTCCAATAGCACCTAAAATGAAAAAGGGCAACTCTTGGTTGACGATCAACTCAAACCACTACTACACATTGATTTGTTTTCATAATTTAAGTAAAATGATTGAACGCAAACAAACTTTCCATCTACTCGAAAAATTAAAAAGTTGATTGGGTCTTTCTCAAACTTCATTTTCATGCTGTCTTATTTGCATGAATTGAAAAAACGTACATATGACCAAACGAAAACAGAAAATGTAAACAGTTCATTTTTTAGGCCCAGGAATTATTTTGCGGTAAACAAACAGAAAAACATAAATTTCTATCGTTATAGTGACCATTATTTATACATGTCTGCATACTGTTCACTTTTGCATGGTTTGATAACCACGTCGATTAATTATCTGATTAACAACTATCAATAACTCTTAGAGCTTTTCGTGCTTATTGAGCAAGTTTAAGACCTCATGATGTTGCATGCTACTTCGCTGTGGAAAAACATTCTATTGTGAAGATACTAAGACTCCTGTAGTAGGTTGTGACTCATAATTGTTGAATATTTGAACCGTTCATGATGATGGGACGCCACTGAGGTAAGTGAAATCACTACGTGAACGCGCTGTTACCACTTAAACTACGTGATTCAAATGGCAATCTGCCGCGATCACGATCAGTTGTGATCGGAACCACGAAGCTGAAAATAATTCTCAAATTATGTTCTCTCTCAAGAAAAATGAAATAATCTAAACTATATGTTTTAATTTTCTTTTGTTTGAAATTCACCGACCACACTTCTTATCTCAGTTCACAATACTGGTTGATCAGTCATTATTTTAGAACACAAGAAAACAGATGAGGTCGTGGTTACCAGGAAATCGCATAGTAAACATTGAAGCTGATCACAATGACAGACAGACACAAAATTAACGTAGAACCTCCCACACAAGTCCATGGTTTGAGTTGTCAGAACTCAAAGTAGTATACAAAGAGCAAATGAACAGAAAAAGACTGGTATGAAAGTAGACAAAGCTATGAGAAAATAAAAAAAATTGAAGACAATGGTTAGGTCAGATATTCAGGTTTTCGAAAATGTCTGAGTGAATGCATCTGCGCCACTGTGACCAATTTCCAGTCGTCATCAAGAGTCCTTGACCACCGATTCTTTTCGTCTGGGGGGACCTAGCCAGGTAGCTCCCACCTACTCACACGATTTAGGCCAACAGTCAGGGACCTCATACATTGGTCACAACCCATGAAACCATACAAAATAAAGCGGTCTGAGTATGAAATGAGGACATATTTTATCATTACTCTATGCTGCCAAAATTTCGAAACATGCAACAATTCGATGGGTGTCAGTAAAATGTCTTTGATTTAGTCAACTGATTGTTAACTTTGAAATGGCGACTAAACTAGTTTATTACAGTGGAGCTGTGGCTCATTGGTTTAGGAAGCTGACTTCCAATTAATGGGTAACGAGTTCGAATCCCACCGAATCTATCAAGGTTTGGGTAGCCAGGTAATATCAGTAGCCCTCATAATAGATCCGGTTCACTGTTTACTGCACCAGGTGCACAAAGTTACTGAGTACATTTCAATTCCATTTGAGCTTACTACATTGTTATACTGTATCTTCACTAGTTGAATAAAGTTTTCACGGAATTATCCTTGCTATAATTGATAAAGAGAAACATGTATTACATTATGATTCCATTATTTCTGCGTTCTAAGAACGAATTCCTGATAATCCTACCTTCTCATCCTGAAATGTTATGATTCAGATCAAAGGAATGTCCATTTAATTTTTAGTAGTAAGGTTTGCCACACAATAAATTTAATTCTTTAATAAAACACCTCAGGAATAGATGTGATCGAAACTAAGTTTATTTCAGCGTTTTAAGTTTTAAATAAGCTATTTATTCGGTTGAAAAAACCAAGCGCTACTAAGTGGTAGTCGTTAATTAACAACCCTTAATCCCCAATAATAAAAAACGACACGTGCATCACTAAATTATAGCTTAGCATTTGATAATTTACAATACCCATACTCACTGAAGTTTATTCTCTACAAAACTACCTCGACAAGACGTTTAATACAGAGTTCACTCGAAATGCAGCTACTATGCGTAACTACTTTTCGCCCATCCCAAAGAGCAAAGCTATTTAATGTACGAAGGTCTAACACTATTTGATTAAGATGATTTAATTGAAATGTCCGAAATACCAATCGTACTACGAAAGCTACGTAATCCCGCAGAGTTCGAAACTGGTGGACGATTACTAGCCTTAAGAGCAATACATGGAAATAAAGATTTCCATGTGAATGTCCGTTAACTATTCCTGTTTATATAGAATCGCCTACTCGGAATCAGATGAACAACTCTGAAAGCATGCTGAGCGGAAATGAAGAATGTAAAACTGCATTAGGAACTCCCCAGGTAATGAAATGTTTTGGTTACGCAGGTTACTAGCGAAAGGTCTGACTATACCCAAACGTATCTTGGAAGATTACAAACTACATTTAAAAACCAATGAGTTTTGAACTTACCAAGAAAATCTGCCAACACAGAAAGTGCACCAATGCATAGACCTCCTAAAGCAGCTGCTGTTGGTATATATCTGTTTAGCTCATGTACCATTGAATTCTCCCGATGCCCCGGGACAAAAGTTTGTTGTTCCTTCAGTTGTTTCACAACATCTTTAGCGCTGGAGTTAGAGACATCAATCCATATTTTGCTGAAGAAAGCACAGCTGCCAAGCATGAAAGCAATATATAAAATGCCATGTATGGGGTCTACTAGCATATCACCCAAAGAATCTGGAGGAGTCATATAGTAGCACAACCCCCCGATGGGTACAGATCGAGAACCACCTTCGCCGTCAGACCATACACCCAAAAGATTAATTAGGAAGTTGCCTCGAAATTTGCTGGCAAGCATCTGCAAAAGCATATGAAGTAAATACAATTACTCACCTGTGACATGACGTAAAGATTCGATACAAGTGCACTTTGAAGCATAATTGGGGCATTACTTGTGTAGAAAAGTTTGATTGGGTATGATGTTGTTTGCCCACGATAGCGGATTGACTTGACTGCAATGTCAACTCTGAAACTCTATAAAAAAAAAATACAAACACTAGTTTGACCTACTTGGAAATAGATGACAACCGCAAAGACAAGAATGGTTGCAAGTATATTCATCAAATTCGGCAAATTTTGGCGATAAAATGCCTCTCTTAGCGCACGAACTTTATCGGTACGAGTCGCCAATAAGTGGAACAATGATATTATGGCACCCTCAAACTCCGTACCTAGAAGTGTTAACATGAAACCGAATACTTACCTCGACCAGTATTAATAGTTGTTGGGCTAATTGCTCTCCATACGATAGTTTCACAAATATTTGTTGCAATAAATAGAGATATACCAGATCCCAGACCATAACCTTTCTGAAGGAGTTCGTCTAACATCAAAACCAAGAGCCCTGCAAATGTCAACTACAAGGCAAAAATAAGGAGGAAAACAACAAACCTGAAATATGATTAGAAGACAAATGCCAGCCCCCAGCTCGCTTGGGGCACCGTAAATCCCAGACATGACATACACAGAAGCCTGTCCAATAGTTATAACCATACCGAATACTGAGAAGTCAAAAATCAGTGACAACTTACATTTTTGCGCTCCGTTGAACAAAGCTCTGTCTTTGGGTGCATCACCAACAGATAGAACCTGAATCCCAGCTAGCAGTTGCATAATTAATCCAGATGTTATAATGGGTGATATCCCAAGTTCCATGAGAGTTCCTTTGTTGGAGGCAGATATAACACGAAGCCAGTAGAGCGGATCGGCAGATTCAGATGACATGATCCCAAAAAGGGGTATTTGACAACAGAATAAGAAAATCATTAATGTTATTCCCGTCCATAATACCCGTTCTCTGAACTGTATCTTCCGCTCAGGACGAGAGATTTCCGGAAGGATAGCACAGAAAGGCTTGACGACATCCAAAAACTTAACTACATTATAGAAAAAACATTACGGTCAAAGCAACAAACCAACCCGTCATCGTCAACGCCACACTCACAATGCGTGGCGGGTAATTTGTGAGAATTGAAGCGAACAAACAAGCTTCAGACTTCGTATTGAAGAAATATAGTACAATATTATCATATCCCCTCTGAGCCTCCTGTATTGTCCCCGATACGGCGTAGGGGCAAGTAAGCGTTGCAGATAAGGTTTGAGTGGTAGCCCAATTACTTTCTTCCTAGCTGTTTTCTGAATGTGTTTTAGGATGACAGTGTCCTTTTCCAAGTACTGGAAAACGGCTAACGAATCTTCCTGCAGATGAGGAGGAATATATAGAGCCCGTACCTTGTAGCGAAATGTCCCGAGGTCAGTTCATCTAGAGCACGAGACTGGAGCCCTATGACCCCATGTGCTCTATTGGTTATAAGTTGACATTGGTGGGAAGCTCCGAGTATGTCACTTAGGAGAATTCCTAGATCTCTTTGTGTGTTCGAGTGAGAAACATTTGTTTCCCTCAGTGACTGTGAACCAGAATTGCACCTATATTTTTCTGAGATCAATATTCCACACTCCTCCGAGTAGAGAGGGAGCAGGTTTTCACTTTTCCAATTTGCGATTTTACAAAACTTCCATCGTGCGGCCCACGTATTCATTGGTCCCTGTACATCCATCTGAATCTTGGGATCACAAGTATACAATGGTGAATGGAAATTCGGGCCCACTGGCAGGTAATTTATCAATGGACGGAACGATAGCGGGCCAAAAATGGAGCCCTAGGCCACCGAACTCAGCGTCGAAAGTCGTTTAGTTAAGAAGGAACCTGGTCTAACCAGGTGTAGAGATTCTCCCTAGGCCAGCCAAGCAACTTCCCGTGCGCCCTCATAGGCTGAGGTTTCTTAGTGCGTCGTGATTAGCCAAGTCAAGGGCTTTAGAAAAGTCAATAATGATGACCTACTTCAAATAATGAATTATACGAACACATGCGATTTTACAGGCAATTTCTCAAGTGACACAAATTGAGGGAATTGCATGCATGTAACATTCAACTCTCCTCAAACCTCGCACACGACTATAAGATGATGTACTGTCCCATCACTCATGGCGATCTGGCAACGTATAGTGATGTGAACACCATCAGAGTATTTGACAGGCTAGGTACCCCTTCAGGTTAATCAGGTCCCCTCATAGTTCAGTTCGTGTGGCTTGTACACTTCAGCTTACAGTTTGTATACAGCTGTCCAACGGCCCACACTGACTTCTTAGCGCACGAACTGCTTGTTCAGAGCTGCAGTCTGGATTCACCACCGCACAGCACAAAGCCGGCTGTATGCGTAACCAGAAAAACAGTGGATGGTAAACCGAACCGGATGACTTCAACAGCGTTAAATGGCAGACGTAGACAGAGAGGAGTGTATGCACATAGCATACAGGTAGCCCAATATTAATGGATGTCGTTGCCCAACAGGGAGAGTACAACCATCCCATGGTGTCAATCGGCCGGTGTTACATAGCCACCCAGGTAAAAATCAGAGTCGACTTTTAGATAGCCACTTGTTTCCAGCCACAGGGCAATCTACCCTCTAGAAACAAATGTTTGAACAGATATGGCGGTTCAGAACTCAGAACTTTGGCACACTATTTGAGAAAACTCAAATAATGCTATCAGTTCCTAGGGATTTATTAAGATTCAAGCTCCTCAAGGTTCCTCGGGTTTCAAGAAGCTCAATTTCTGTAAAACTTAACTCCTGTGTACTGTGAGTGACTACCTAGTTTGCAGTTGTCCCTCTCACTTGAAGGGGACTATTTTAGAATTCCTGGGCCACCAATTTAGCTACGTGACAGGTAGTATGGTGCGTCAACGTATTACTGGGGTCTTGTATGCCAAGTGAAACGTTACCCTTCTTTTTCATTGGTCGGCATGGTGCCCATGATTCCCTTCAAGTGTTCTCTACGGATATTCCAGACATACACTATCGCTCCCGACTCTCGCTGTACGTCCGTTACGGATATTCAAGTGTCTGAAATCCTAGATAGGAAAGCAAGTGTTCAGTTGCATTAGCCAAAATATTACTCGCTTGGCTGTCGTCTCTCACTTTTGTATTTGCTGTCGCGCGACTTCGTCCTCATGACAACTCAGGTATTACTGACCAGTGTTAATGATTACAGTGTCTGAAAATCAGGATGTTAATCTAAATTGAGCCTGAATAAAGCAGGTGCTACAGAATAACGTTATTCGGGAGAAGCTTCAACCGAACAACCTGGAGACTGTCAAGTTTGTCACAAACGATTTAGACCGTCCCACGAACAATACCAATACTGGGGGCTTTCGATTCTATGGCGGTAGAAACTACAAGAAAATATGGTGAATAATTATAAAACCAGTAAAGAGATTCGAGGACCACTCCATGTGGACATGGCTGGAAGGATATCATGGTTGATCGAATTTCGCGATAACTGCAAGTTGCCAGCTGACCTGTGAAAATGAATAAGTTAGAGAAACGGCGAAGGCTACATGGAACAAAAGTGTGGGAGTGATAGGAAGCACGCGAATAAAGACGTGGTAGGGATAACGTGGGTGCGAGGAAAATGCCCGTAGAACAAAGTACAATTTTAGTGGTATTAATGGCAATATATTCATCAAGCATAGTATGGTAAACTTCAAAGTAACACGAGAGAGAGAGAAGCCTAGTAGGTTGCCGAACAGTAGTGAAGGGTGTTATCCCTCAAGACTCGTATCAGAGCATAGCTTGGACAGGTTATGAAGCGGCTGACCCGAAGTACTTAAGTTTTATGGGTCATTATCAAGTCGGCTCTCAGTCGTCTATACCGCCAAAGAGATAAATAAATAAATGTTTTATTCTTACATTAGTAATTTAACGTGAGAGAAGCCTATTTACGGGCATTATGACATTGATATGTGTTGAAAAATCCACAAGGTTTTGCAGGTCATGAATGGTACACAGAGTACGTCATCAAATTCTGTTGAAAGTATCAGCAGATCCTGCTAGTTTTAAAACTTACAAGAAATTATCACTTTTCAGCGTAAACAAAGTGTTAAAGTTTAGATAACATTTTTATTCTAAAGATACAGGGTTGACATGCACTAATCATATGGATGGAAACTAGGTCGGCAAACGGATAGATACAATGAAGGACCTCTAGATGCGGCTCTTACGTTCTCGGAGTGTCAAAGAAAATACTACCGTCTCCGTTTGCCCTTACCTTACTGGATTCTAAGTTTCCTTAAAATAGATTTTACACCTTTGCCTTTCATCCATAGAGCTGTTTACTTCCTTTACCAAGACGTGTAATTCATATTCCATCGATGTTAGTTTATTCGCACTTGGACGCTCATTTCCGTTGTAATCTTATTTCGTTCCCCACCAAATGTCCCAGGATATTGATGTCTTTACCGCTTTATAATGGTGGTTCGTTTTTCCCTTTGGGAGCATGACATTTTTACAGGCGCGAACAAGGAAAGGGTTTCTGCTTCTTTACGAAAACTGCACGTGACTGTTTATCTACACCAATCTAAAAATGATTAATCAAGCCCACATTAATAACGGCTATAGTATAACCACAGTAATCGGACCACCACACGAAAGTGTAGCAACTTCTCGTACCCTGAGTGAAAAGTTATTTGAACACAAGAATAAAACGAAAAAGATCGCGGGGTTTTTGAAGCTGAACAGAAAAAATCTCATGAAATTTTCATCAGGCCTATTAGTAGTTTATTAAAGGCTGCAGCAAGCTCGGAAATTCGAGGTGTAGCAGTGATTGGTGGGACAAGTTTGTCCAAAGATATGGAGAGGCTGCTGCATAAAATGTTAGAGGAAACTCTGGGAAAAGTAGAGTAGACAGCATTTGAGAAAGAAGTTCCTGAGTGAAGTATCTGCCAAGAGCGAAGTGCGAACAATGGGACATAAAGTGCAGCACTGAAACAAATACTGTCAAAACAACGCAGGGAAGGTGAATACTGCAAAACAAACGTGAAACTAGGGTTAACAATCGCCCCTGGGATACTCCTAAGCCGCAGTAATTCATGGGATTCGGATGAGAAAACTTGTTTCACAAATTTTTCATCACGTCAATGGAATATACCTTCCTCAGGAACAGAGTTATATATCTGTCGACAGAGTGTAGCGTCACACACTTCTCCAAAATCAATGGACTAGGGTTTGACGAGATTCAGCATTGATGCTGACCTTCATAGTGTGACCAAACTCGCTAGGCTAAAGGCACCCGGTCAAGCATCCTCACCATTTGGCACGCAGTCGTGTCACGTTGAACTGCTCGTAGTCGACCGTCTAGCCAGTTAGTTGGAAGGCATCGGTATCTTGGGACAACCACCCAAATACGCTATTCCATCCGACTATGCTATTGTGTTCTTCCTTGGTCTCGTATTCATGGTTATGTAACAAGTTCGAATAATAAGTGATTGGCCTCTGCGTCTGTCAAGTTCGCTTCAGGACAGTTCCTTAATTGATGAGCCCGACGTGATTATATATCCAGACCAATGACAAACACTGAATTGGTGAGCCTGTTCCGTTTTATGCTTGTATATTGCTTTCATTTTGATAACCAATACGTATCCATAAGCAATTCTTTTTCATGTCCAGCCACACTCTCAGGCTTATCCGTATTAGGCCAACTACGAACACCATCCAGCTCGTGCCATATTGCCAGAAAAAACAAAAACATAGTTTCTGTATGCCGAGGCAGATTTTTGAGGACGGGGAGTCGCAGATCCTCATTTCCCATTTATTGCTGTCATACTTTCACCACCGCGGGAATTAAACAGGCATGTTTCAGCACATATGCTTTGTCCTGAAATAAGTGATCCTTGTACATTTCTCAAAGCCGCACTCTTGAAGGAAAGCGATCTCATAGATCGCCAGGGCCTGGACGAACCGCTTCGTGACATCGAGCTAGGCAGCCACTCAGCCACTGAAGTCCTCGCACGCTTACGAGAAGTTATCAGCGTGCGAACATTCGACGATGGCCTTTTCCGAAAACCGTTTCTCTCGAAACTAAAACAGCCGGTGCAAACAGTGTTGGTGACGCTTCAGTCAGTCCCACT